ACACACTCACATACACACACACACACACACATATATTGTTGATTTTTTTAGACAGGGTCTCACTATGTAGTTGAGACTGACCTGGAACTCACTATGTAGCCCAGGCTGGTCTCGAACTCACAGCGATCTTCCTGCCTCAGCCTCCGGAGTGCTGAGGATTACAGGCGTGCGTCACCACGCCCAGCTTTTTTTTCTTATTTTAAAGTCATGCTCCTGAGGAAAAACTGATTATGTTGTGTTACATGTCTTTCTAGATTCTTTTTTGTCTTTGAAACGTGTTCTGTGATTCTCCTAGGAATTACATGTGTTGGAATGATAATCTTAATTATTTATGAATATTAAAAATACATTTTTGGTCTTTGTGTTACAGAAACTTTCCCCTACATTTTGTTTAAACATTTCTTATGCTACTTGTTGCATGAATGTGAGTGTAAAGTTTTAAAATTCTTAATGTTGTAATAGCTGTAATGGTGGTATTCAAATGTGATGGGGGAAAATGCCTTACTAAGAAACTGCTGTGTTTTAGCTAGATATATCACCATGTATTGCAAAGTAAGTGCTTTGATAATTAAGTTTCTTAGGAAACTTATGGAGTCAGATTAGTGAGAATTTGCAGAATTTGACACTTAAAGAGTTTCAGAAGGCTCTAGGTAAAACATTTAAATACAAGAGCCCTTTCAAAGAGACTCCTGAGAAATGATCTTCTGCCATCTTTTTGAACATTTGTCATAATTACAGCTGATTATTTTTTATAGTAACTGGAGTTACTTTATTAACAGTTTATCTACCCATCATCCAAATTCAACTATTTATCAAGAATAGTGCATTTTTTGTATCGTTCTAGCAATAAGTAAATTCTACACAGCAGTTTAAATTTGTCTTAACTCCTATGATTTATTTAATCCTGATTCTGCTGTAGTGAATTATCTTGGAAAAACTTACTAAAAATAGATTCATTAGAGACTTTTAAATATCATTAATGTTTTCCTAGTCAAGCTTAATATTATTAGGTTTTTCAATATTTTCTATATGAAAAGATTTTGAAATCTTTTAATATGTCATGTTTAACTAACTTGCTAGTTTGGTACCCATTTTAAGGTGGAATATTTACAGATACTTAGAAAATACAGGAATTTCCCTTAGGTTACATAAACTGAATCTATATAGGAGATACTGTTTATAAGTAAAAGCTAAAATTAATGGAAAGTCTTGTGATCTTTGCTAATTTTTACTCATTTATGTGAAAACTAGAGTTCTTGTATCTGCCATCTTCAGTCTTGTAATTTGTATTTAGCTGCTGTGTTTAATCATTAAAAATTTTATCTTTTACAGACATATAAACTTAGAGACAAGTGTATCTACTATTATACTATATGAAGTGTATCTACTTCATGTACTATTACAAAGATTTGTATCCCACTCAATATACTACTTAAAAAAATTGAACTGTGCATATTGATTCACATAGTACAAAGTTACAATGCCTGCAAATAAACATAATTGCTTATCATACAGGAGGGTAATTTTAAGCTTGAAGTTTTAAGCGGAAAAAAAGAAGTTTTGCTGAGCAAGGTGGCACAAGCCTGTGATCCCACCACTCAGGAGGCTGAGATAGGAGGGTTGCCAGGAGTTCAAGGCCAGCCTTGGCTACATAGTGAGTTCAAGGCCAGCATGAATTACATAGTAAGACCTTGTCTCAAAACACCAAAAAAAAAGAAGGAAGCTTTTACATCTATTATTATTCAAGATATACTCTTACAGTGTTTGAAAGTTTAGAAAATTATGCAGTGCTATAAATAAATACTGTCACTTTATAATTGGTTAATCTGGTATGAGAAAATTTCAAGACATTTTAATTTTATCTTTTGAGACTTGTTAGTGCTTATACAGGCATAGAGAAAGAAAGGATAAAGAGTGTATGGAGGACCCAGGATTTAGCTCAGGGGTTCCACTGCCTGCCTCTCAAGTGCAAGGACCCACGTTTGATCCCCGGTACCCAAAGGAAAAAAAAAAAGTGTTATGGGGAGCAGTATTATCTGTAAAACAGGACTCTTTATTACTCACATTTATTTGTTCATGTTCAAATTTTAGATTCTAACGCCTTTCTTACTGAGAAGACTAAAATCCGATGTTGCTCTTGAAGTTCCTCCTAAACGAGAAGTAGTTGTTTATGCACCACTTTCAAAGAAACAGGAGGTTTTCTATACGGCCATTGTGAATCGTACAATTGCCAACATGTTTGGATCGAGTGAGGTATAGTGCAGGCTTGAAATATACTGTAAATGAGACCTGGTATATAAAATTTCATGATTGATTTCAGTCTTACAGCTTTTTACCTGTTCTAAGGGTTTGTTGAATGAGATTTTTTCTAAGAGAAGTATAAGGCAGAAGCCAAAAGCTCAAGTTTTTTTGTAATATCTCTGGTCCTGTTGAAAGTTTTAAGTGATAGTCTGTGTGTTACTGTTTGTGATCATCTGAAATAAGTGTTAAAAATTGAGATTCCTCTATTTGATCAGATTTAAGCATGCTGTGTGGAAGAAATTTGGAAATGTTTTGTTAAAAGCATGGTTAGGGCTGGGGATTTAACTCAGTGGCTACACACCTGCCTTGCATGTGCAAAGCCCCTGGTTCCATCCTTAGTACCAAAAAAAAAAGGTACAGTCATTTAAGAATTACTGTTCTAAAAATTTGCCAAGTAGACCATCCCCTCTCAATATGCAATTCCTTCACAGGAAGGTATTTAAAGGCTGCTTGAAAAATATTTCTGTTGTCACTTAGCATATTATAAGAGATGGAGGTAGGATTTAAGTTCGAAGCAGTTTTATTGTCTATACTTTTTCTCCTGAGCTATAAAAGTATTCTCTTACTTTCAGATACTATAAATAATGTTAAGACAAATTTCATACAAAATTTGTGTTTGGCAATGAGATTATGGATGTCTGGTAATTGTATCTGGAAATCATTAAACTTGATAAAAGAAAATTATTTTAACACCTTAATCATTTTGTACATAGAGATAGACTTTATTTTGCTTATTCCAATTCTTCAGTGTATAGCTTTTTAAATAGATACTTCTTCAATTTTTTTCTCTTTTAGAAGGAAACAGTTGAGCTAAGTCCTAATGGACGACCAAAACGCCGAACTAGAAAATCAATAAATTACAGCAAAATAGATGATTTTCCTAATGAGTTGGAAAAATTGATCAGTCAAATACAGCCAGAAGTAGACAGAGAAAGGTGTGGGTTTAATAATGTGTTCAATGGGAATGGGGAGAGGGGAGTGGCAGGAGGGAAATGGGAAGTAAAATCAGTTAACATGGAATGTGCATATGTACCAGTTTCCTAAGATGAATGTGGTTATTATGTATATCAAACATACATCAGTAAATAAAAGAATTTAATCTTTAACTTGTAGTTTTTTCCATTTCTCATACTCTTGCGTTATATTTTTGGTAGGCCTACTGTGGAAGCGAATATCCCTGTGGAGTCTCAAATAGACTTGAAGCTGCAGAACATAATGATGCTACTTCGTAAGTGCTGTAATCATGCATATCTGATTGAATACCCGATAGACCCTGTTACACAAGAGTTTAAGGTGAATGCCATTTAATAATTTACTATTTTGATTTATATCTTTTTTTTTAATACTGGGGTAGTGTTATTTTGCTTGGTTTGTTATCACTTAAATATTGTATTATTTTCCATATGAAGATTTTAATCTAGTGCAGTAAGCCATCTCTTAAGAGAATCTTTTGAGGCTTAGAATGATCATTTTTTATGTGCAAAGAAACTTAATATTTTTCATATTTTATATGACTGGTAATCCTAAATTTAGTAGAGTATGTCATATCTACTTTTGCTGTCTGTGTTAGGGATAGTTATCACTTTTTTGGTATTCCTTTTAGCTAATACTTAGCTTGTCAGAATTAGACTGACTATTCGTTGCTTAATGAACAGAAGAAAACCAAAAAATTAAGAGTTGAAAACTTTCAGATTCAATGAATGAAGTTGTTTCCTGGGGCAGTTAATTGAAAACTGGCATAACATTAAACTGTTCTTAGTAACCCTTGTTTGTTTACATCTTTATACAGCAAGGCTTTTATCTCTAGCAGTATTGAAATTTTGGGTCAAATAACTTTATTTGAAGTAATGTCCTATTTACTGTAGAACATTTATCAACCCACTATTCCCTGCATGCCAGTAGTAGCCACTTTGCCCGTTTATGATGACATAGAATTCTTTATAGTCTCTGATAGTTTAATTTCTACTAAGCAGGTTTCACACAAGTCTCATTGTGTGGTTCAGACTGGATTCAACTTACTGTGTAGCTCAGGCTGGCCTTGAACTCAATCCTCCTGCCTCAGCCTTCCAACTACTGGGATTACAGACATGCACTACCATACCTGGCTTCTCGTAGAAGTTTTTATACATAATTTACTCCATTATAAATAAACCTTAATGTGTACACAGTAAACTTGAACCGGCTGGAGTTTTGGTTTGGGGCATGTCTATGTTTAAAAAGATTAAATATTAAAATTAAATTATAAAAATTATTCTTGAAAATTGAGTTATTTAGTAGTTTTAGAGGGGTTTCATTTTTGTATGTGTTTAGTAATAGTGTTTTTTTTCCCTTTGGATTTTTGTTCACTTTTAAGATTGATGAAGAATTGGTTACAAATTCTGGAAAATTCTTAATTTTGGATCGAATGCTGCCAGAACTAAAAAACAGAGGACACAAGGTAATATTTTGGGTTATAATTTTGTTGTTTAATTATTTTTTTAATGAAACAACAAAGACATTGAGATGTATTTATTTAAATTTCAGGTGTTGCTTTTTTCACAAATGACACGGATGTTGGACATTTTGATGGATTATTGCCATTTTAGAAATTTCAACTTTAGTAGGCTTGATGGGTCCATGTCTTACTCAGAGAGAGAAAAAAATGTAAGACCGCTTATGTTATACATACAAATTCTGTAACTCCTGTCTTCATTTCTGAAGTAGTGCACAAGATACAGCTTGTTAAGAGATAGGGATAATCTCTATTTTCGGTAGGATTCAAAACAAGCATTTTGATTTAGTACTAATAAGTGGTGTTTGGTTGGCATGTGTGTACACACGCACATATCTTCTTGCACGGTCTTAAAATATTAACTGTCAGAAAATATTAGGATAATAGTAATTTTTTTTTTTACTTCTGACTTTCTGTCTCAGTCCTCAGCATTTTATTATGAACATTTTAACTGTATAGCAAAATTAGAAACATTTTATAGCAAGCAACTGTAAACCCATCCATAATCTGCCAGTACATTATTTTGATTTGTGTTTGTTAGTTTTGTGGTGCCAGCGGTTGAACTCAGCCTTTTTATTTATTTATTTATTTTTGGTACTAGGGATCAAACTCAGGACCTTGCACTTGCGAGGCAGGCGGCAGAACCACTGAGCTAAATCCCCAGCCCTGAGTCAGCCTTTTAAAAAAATTTTATCTTTTTGAGAGGATCTCGACCAAGTTGCATAGGCTGTTTTCAAACTTAAAATACTTTTGTCTCTGCCTCCTGAGTAGCTGAGTATTGGCAAGCACCTAATGATAACATTTTTATCATTTACCTGTGACATAACATGAGTCACAGTCGCTGTATCCATTATCCCCTTTTTATGCATTTCAAAATACATGATAAATGACACTATTTTCTTCAATGACTTCACCATCTGTTACATTTTGGGGTAATGAAATAGACATTTGTTGAGTTTTGACATACATGAGCATATATATGTCCAAGTCCCTTATCAGGATATCCAGTATTACCATCAGTCCAGAAATATTCCTGTATTTCCTCTTAGTTTGTCTGCCCTTCTTACATTTCTTAGGCAACTATTACTAATTCTTTTTCACCGTTTTAAAAATTTAGGTATTATTTAAACTTGTTATAATAATAATAGTCTTTTGACAAAATTTAGAATTCCTTAATAAAACAGATGTTTGGAAAATTAAAACATGCAGAGATTTTGCTAACATTGTTTTATAGACTTGAAAGGTTGCTTTGGCTTCCCTTCAAAAATCCTTTAAACAGTGACAGTTGGAAACACATTCGCAGTCATGTCTGTTAAAGTTTTTTTTGATTTTTCACTACTGTGTATTGAACCCAGGGCCTTTACACTGAGCTACATTCCCATCCTTGTATGTATTTATTTATTTAGTGTGTGTGGTTTTTTTGAGACAAGATCTCTCTGTGTAGTTCATCCTTGCCTTGAACTTGTTATATAGCCCAAGCTGGGCTCAAACTTGTGGCAGTCCTCCTGCCTCAGCCTCCCAAGTGCTAGGGTGACAGGTGTGTGCCACCATACTTGGCCCCGGCTCTTTTTTTGAGTCACGGCCTTATTAAATAAATAGCTAAGCTTCCTGGGCTAAGCTTGAGCTTGTGATCCTCCTGCCTCACCCTCCCATGAATACTGAGATTCCCAGGTGGTTTTTTTTAACATCCTTTTTGCTTTTAGATGCACGACTTCAACACAGATCCAGATGTGTTTATCTTCTTAGTGAGTACACGAGCTGGTGGCCTGGGTATTAATTTGACTGCAGCAGATACTGTTATCATTTATGATAGCGATTGGGTAAGTTGGAAATAAAGCAGTATGCTGAATATATGTATGATACAAATTTTTAATCCTTTAAAATATTCTTTTGATTGCCATGGGTGTGTGGAATGATTATTTATGAAGCTACTGTAAAAGTATAAATTGAATTAATGCAACATTTAAATTGTTTTTCATTATATGATGAATGTTGATTTTACCTGTATGAGTTTGTTAACTTTAACCTAATATTGCTAAATATTATCTCTCCTTTTAACTTTAAGAATCCTCAGTCTGATCTTCAAGCCCAGGATAGATGCCATAGGATTGGTCAGACAAAGCCAGTTGTTGTGTATCGGCTTGTTACAGCAAATACCATTGATCAGAAAATTGTGGAAAGAGCAGCTGCTAAAAGAAAACTGGAAAAGTTGATCATCCACAAAAGTAAATAATGCTGATGTACTTTTTTGTTTTGGTTGTCTGTTGTAAATTTTTATTGTCATTATTATTTTCTTTATAAAAGAAATTAGTGCAGTTTGGCATGACAGGATTTAAATTAGCATTGGAGAATGTGGAGCTGCTAACAGCCTTTATTAAGTTGGTGAGCATAGACAGAACCTTTCTGTGATGGTCTAATAAGGCTCAGAGGCACAAGGAGAGTAGTCAGTGATAATTTTAAGGTAAAATACCCCAAACTCTGTCAAAGGGAGCATGGCACAATATCACTGCATATTTTTGATAACTTGATTTGCCAAAATTTCAGAAAAAACTTGCAAGTTCAGCATATTAAATATTAGAATATTAATGGTACATTGAGATAGTGCTATAAAAAACCTTGTTTTAATGTAGAAAAGATTCTAGAAAGGAAGGGAACTGAAGTGAGTAAGGGAGTTTTCTGTACCCAGGGTTACTTGGAAAAGTTCTTTTACTTAATATGAAGTTGTATTTGACTAAATGGCTCAATGGCTGCCTGCACAAAAGTTAAAAATTGTCAAGCCTAGAGAAATGGAAATAGCATAATAATGTTGAAAATTAATTTAATACTTCTTGTAGATTCTTCTCTATGAAATTGGTTTTGAGGACATATTAGATTTGTTCATTTCTTTGTTTATTGGTACTGGGGATCGAACTTCGAGACCTTGCCCTTGCTAAGCAGGCAGTGGAACCGCTGAGCTAAATCCCTGGCCCTAGATTAGATTTTAGACAAAAGTAAATGGACTTGATAGAAAATTCACATTATAGATGGAATTTGCATTCAAGGTAAAAACAGAACCTTGTTCTAGTAAGGTTTTGTGTAAGTTTAAAATAATCTCACCTATGGCATTTTAGGAATCTGAAAAATGGAATAAATTACATTTTGCTTAAACATTGATGTGTATACCTGTCATCCAGATCAAAGGAACATTTATATCACCCAAGGAAGTTTCCTTGTGCATCCTATGCTCCTCTAATCCTCACTGCAAAGGGCAAGTGTTAACTCTGATTTCTGTCCAGTAGTTTAGGGTTTTTTTTTAACCATTTTTATGTATATACAATATTGTTTTTCTCTAGCTATTTAAGTTTAAATTTTTAGGTTATTCATTCTTCTATTAGTGGATATTTGAATTGTTTGCAAGTTGTGTTTATTATTGATCAACTGCTTTTATATGAATCTTTGTGGACACAATGCATTTATGAAGGTTTTTTTTTAACCTATCGTGAACTACCAAACATTTCCCAAGTGAACATAATTATATTTCCACCAGCAAAGTATAAGAATTATAATTAACTTGTTCTCCTTGTCTTGTTAAAAGAAATGCCAGCCATTCTGATTTGTTTGGAATTTATTGCAGCTTTAAAAGGAATTTTAGCTAGGCATGGTGGCACATACCTGTAATCAATCCTAGCATTTTGGGAGGCTGAGGCAGGAGGAACCCAGATTTGTGCCCAATCTGGGCAATTTAGTGACACAGTGAGATACAATCCCAAAATTTTTAAAAGGGCTGAAAAAGTAACGCAGTGTAGAGGCCCTGGATTCAATCCTTAGTACCACCAAGAAAATTTTTAAAGTGTTGTTGTTGTTTTTTTTCTCCCTAGATCATTTCAAAGGTGGTCAGTCTGGATTAAATCAATCTAAGAATTTCTTAGATCCTAAAGAATTAATGGAATTGCTAAAATCTAGAGATTATGAAAGGTAAGATTTCTTAAATTTAGTTTTAATTCTTTTGTTTATGTTTGTAGTACATAGTGATTACATTCCTCTGGGCAAATTGATTCAATATGCAACACATCTCCCCTCCACCCCATCTCTTGGTTCCCTTCCCTTTTGCAAAAGATTTCTCTCCCCGTTTCCTGTTACCTATCTTTTATTTATATTTTGTGTTTCTCATATAAGAGTAATCATGCTTTATTTAAGCTTGTGTGTCTGAGTAATTTCACATAACATGGTCTCAATGTTTTTATCCATTTGCCTACAAATGGCAGTCACACTCCACTGTGTATAAGTGCCATGTTTTCTTAATTCACTCATCTGTTGATGGACCTACAGGCTGCTTCCAGGAATTACAAATTGCACTGCTATGAACATGGTCTTGCATATATTATTGTAATATGATAATTTCACTTTTTTAGGAAAGATGCCTGGAAGGGGAATAGCTGGATCAAGTAGAATTTTTAGTTTGAATTTTTTGAAGAATCTCCATACTGATTTGATTTCAATAGTGTTTATACTAGTTTACACTCCCTCCAACAACAAAGAAAGGTTCCTTTTCCTTCACATCTGTTTCAGAATTTGTTATCGATTTTTTGATGATAGCCATTCTTACTGGTTCTCAGTTTTCTAATTTGCATTTCTCTAATGGCTAGAGATACTGAACATTTTTTCATGTATTTAATGACCATTTGTACTTCTTTTTCTGAGAAGTTTTAATACATTTCAGTTGCCTGAGTTTTTATGGGGTTTGGTATTTTACTTTGAGGAGTCTTGTCTGTTTTGAGTTCTTTATGTATTATAGATGCTAGTCCTCTGTTTAAGGAATGGCTGATGAATTTGTTTTTTCCATTCTATAAATTGTTTTTATTCTGTTGGTTGTTTCCTTTCTTGTGCAGAAGCTTTTTAATGTGCTATGATCTCATTTGTTGATTCTTCAGTAGTATTTTCCATGCACCTTGGGTTCTGTTCAGAAAGTCCTTGCCTATGTCTGTCTTCAAAATTATTTACCAATTTCATCTTCCAACAGATTCTGTTTTAACATTCATATCTTGATTTTCTACAGTCAGTTTTCTGCATGTGGGTCTATAATTAGTCTTCTGCATGTAGATAGCTGATTTTTGCGTCACCATTTGTTAAAGCGGCTACCTTTCCTTTGGTGTGTACTTTTGGTTCCTTTGTCAAAGACCAGATACTTGGCATGTGTGTCAGGTTCTTTTTTTACATCATCTCTTATGTAATTTATTGTTCACATGTCTGATTTTATGCCACTGTAGCTTTGTAATATGCCTTGAAGTCCAGCATTGTGGTATCTCTTGCTTTGTTCTTGTTGCTCAGCATTGCTTTTGCTATTCTGGGTCTCTTGTAGTTCCATATGAATTGTAGGATTGTTTTCTCTAGTTCTGTGAGGAATGCTGTTGGTACTTTTTTTTTTGGTACCAGGGAATCGAACTTGGACTTTGTGCTTGTGAGGCAGGTGGTGGAACCACTGAGCTAACTCTGGCCCTGCTGTTGGTATTTTGATTGGGATTATGTTGTCTTCCATCAGTTTTGGAAATACAGCATAGTCATTCTGACAGTGTTGGTTCTGTTTATTCAGAAATTGGTATCTTTTTCATTTTCCCATGCCCTCCTTGATTTTATTTTTTCCCTTTGCCTGCTTGTCTGTCTGTCTACCTTCCTTACCTTCCTTCCTTTTTTGGGGGAGGGGGGTCAAGGTCTCCTTTTGTAGTTCAGGCTGGCCCTGAACTCACTATGTTGCCCAGGCTGGTCTCAAACTTGCAGCAATCCTTCTGCCTCAACCTCCCAAGTGCTGAGCTTATAGGCATGAGCCACCACACCCAGCCAAAGTACTTTAGTTCATTGTAGAGGTCTTGTACTTTCTTGGTTAGGTTAATTGTTAAGTATTTAATTTTTCTTGATGTTACTGTGAATAGTATTTTTCTAAAATTGTTTTAGTTTTAGAAAAATAAAATATATTTTTTCAAATACACTTACAGAGAAATAAAAGGATCAAGAGAGAAAATCATTAGTGACAAAGATCTAGAATTATTGTTAGATCGAAGTGATCTTATTGGTAAGTACCTTTTATGTTTTTTTTTTTTGTGGAAACTTAGAAGTGTACACATACAGGGTAGTGACAATACATTTGGCCACAGTAGTTGACAACATTCAGCTGGTCTTGTTCATTCTCTCTTCTCTTTTGTTGGAGTCTTAAAATCAAATCTCAAGTAATCATGACATACTATATTGTGCATTTTTTATTAAGAAGAACATATTTCCAAACAGAGCAGCTATTACTACATTTAAGAGAATTAGCAGTAATACCTTAATTTCATTTATTACTCAATCTATTCACATTTTCCAAAATGTTGATTTTGCAGTTTGAATCAGGATCTAAATTACATTAATTGCTGTTACTTGTTTATGACACCCACTTTCCTTTTGTTTTTTTCTTGACATTGATTTGTTTGCAAACCTAAGCTACTTGCCCTATAAAATAATTAATCCTGGAATTGATTTTTGTTTTTCCTCTTTATGTTATTTAAATTGTTCTTCAAACTACATAACTTTCTTGTAACCTCATAAATTATATTTATGTAAATAGCTTTAGATAATTACATTTAAGTGCTATACTTTAGTCAAGAATAGCAATGTTTATATGATCTTAGATTAGGAGATACATCATGTATGGGTTTCTTATATCAAAATTGATCAGATTCAGGCATATCTCACTACTGTAGTTTGTCAGCCTTTGTTTAACTTGCTATTTTCATCACCCATTGATAATGACTGTTTGGAATCATTATTTCCTTAAGATTTACAAAAATTTTTTTTTTGTACTCCTTATTAGCTAGAATTTGTCTCTTAAGAACTTGTATACAATTAATGTGTGTTCTTTGTATTTGAATTTTCTATGATGGAAGTACCATATTATGGTGTGCTGGAGCTCATCCTTTTCCTATTGTGTTCAGTGGGAAAAACATTGTCCTGGTAGCTTGAAAATGGCAATGATGACAGAGGGCTCACTACCTACAACATTGTACTAGAAATTTATGGTTTTTCTTTCTGGGTTCTTACACTGTTTTTAAAAAGTACCTGTTTTAATATTTTTCTTTTAGATCAAATGAAAGCCTCAGGACCAATTAAGGAGAAGATGGGAATATTCAAGATTCTAGAAAATTCTGAAGATTCCAGTCCTGAATGTTTGTTTTAAATTCGAGCTAAAGAATAGCCTGTTATTGTTTACATCTGGTGATTTACATATATTGGTTTTGAAATCCAGATTGTCCACTTGACTTTTTAAACTAAATCAGTTTACATAATGTAAGTAGTGCCCCTATATATGTAATAGATTATAATTTCCTGAGGCTATTAAGAACAAAATTCATCTTAAGTTTAAATTTTCAGTTAAATATTGAGTCTAGATAGTACTCTTTGGTATGGTCTGATATATACTTAAGCATTGCCAGATTTATTCTCAGTCTTCCTGTGGAAGTTTAGTAAATGCCTTTTACCCCCTTTATTTTAGCAGTGCAGTTCAAGGGGGTTTGATACTTCAGTTATGGAGTAGGCTTTCAATGGGGGCTTATTGGAGTTATCTTTTCTATTTGAAGTAAGATTAGCAGTGCAGTTCAAGGGGGTTTGATACTTCAGTTATGGAGTAGGCTTTCAATGGGGGCTTATTGGAGTTATCTTTTCTATTGTTGAAGTAAGAAATTGTTTGATTTTAGTGTCTTTAACAAGTTCTCCAATAAAATTTCATTATAAGATCACCTCATGAAAGTATTTTGTGAGGGAAATTAGTTCAGGTGAAATAATTGCAAAAGACTTACTGGTATTGGGATTCAATGTTACTGTGCTGACTTGGTTTCATGTCCTAGTGCTACAAGCATATGTCATACAAAGATTGATTGAGTTAACATAGAGAAGGCTCTGAAAGAAGCTGCAGGATCTTGACAAACCAGAAATTGTATGTGGTAATAATATGCATGGTAAAGAATATGACAAAAAAGGAGAAACCCTAAAAATTATTACATGAAGGAAGGTAAATTCAGTCAGACAGAAGAAAACAAAACCTAGGAATAACCTCAAATCTGTAATCAAGGAACATAAACTTGAAAGGATAACAATTTAGTCCCTGAAAGGATATTAGGCTATGAAGAAAAGAGATCTAGAATATACTCTGGGATGGAGGGAAATGATCCCGGAACCATAGATTTCTAAACAGGTTAATGGGAAATGTTATTTTTTATATTCATAACCAGATCAGATAGTAGTGTTTCAGGATAGTGGAACTAAGACTGAAAAGAAAACTATTTTGAGAGAACAATTAACCAAAGAAAAGAACAAAACATAGATCAGGTTTTTCATTTTGTTTTATTAAGTTAGACTGTTTAGCAGTCATGTAAGTATGCTGATTAGGATTGCCCAAAACTCATGGTCCTCACATCAGTGAGTTACTTAGTTATGCAAACTTTTCAGTCTTGTTGTCATTCCAGTTGAATTTTCTTCCCTATCATTCCAATAGAAGGTTTTTTCGTTTGGTATTGGAGATCAAACTTTGGACCTTGCACTTGCGAGGCAGGTGGTGGAGCCACTGAGCTAAATCATCCCCAGCCCTCCAGTAGAATTGTTTTTAATGTCTCCAGCTACCTCTGTAATCATATTTACCTGATCTGTCAACATTTCATATTGTTACTGACTTTCCTCCACAAAAGAATTTTAAGGGGCTTTTAGTAAACACATTTGCTTGCATTTCCATTTCCTTTTTCCTGCTCTGATTCTGTTTCTTTGCTGTTTCTTACACATCTCATCTCTAAGCATTAGTGTCCCAAGCAGGGGTTGTTATTTACTTGATGATTTTTACTTTGTAACTCAGCTCTACCCCAATCTGAATTTATGATCTTCTGTAACCCAAATTTGCTCCTTTTGTACTTTTTCTTATTCCGGTAAATGTTAACTCTGTTCTTTTCAGTTGTTTGTATCAAGAATTTTGGAGTTACGGTTTACTCTTCCTTTTTTCTTCATACTCATGTCGGAGTATATGCATACTTTTTAAATATGTCCATAATTCTGTCTCACTACTTTAATAGTGTATTAATAGTGTCCGCATCTTTTAGTGCAGGTATATTATAATTTTTTATTGGATCAGTAGTCGTCATTCTGACCATATAAACATCCTCCAAATGAGATATGGGATATACTATGATTATGTTTTCACTTTTTTTTGGTGGTGGTAGTGGTGGTGGTCACCCTGAATATTGAACCCAGGACCTTTTAAATTTTGAGGTGTGGTCTCAAATTTTGAGAAATGCCCAGGTTGGGCTTAGACTTGCCTCATTTTCCCAGAGTGTTGGGATTATAAGCATACATCACCATATCTGACATTTTTTTCTTTTTTTGTAGTTTCAATCTTGGAAAGTTTTCCCTTTAACTGTTAATAGTTCTCTTTGTGCGTTTATATAACTGAAAGTTTGATTCCCTCAGTATGTTTAAATAATATATCAGCTATTTCATTGGTAACTTCTCCAAAACCACACCCCACCATCCCCACCATGTTCCCTAAAGTACTATTTAGTTTGGACTGGAGTTCAGATTCCTTCTGGAATCTCACTTTATCCTCCACCTGAGTATTTCTATTAGTTTTTTTATTTTGGAACCATTTTTAAAGTGGATCTCTTGCCTTTTCCTTGGTTTACTCTCATTTTGGTAGAATTTTCATTTTTAGTAACTTTCTGAGAAAAGGATTAAAAAGAAATGAAATATTTGTGACTTTGTATATGACTTTCTGTTGTACATCTCCTGTGATAGTTTTGGTTTAGGATTTTGATTAGGAATCGTTTTCTCAGAATTTTAAAAGTTACTGTGTTGTCTGTTTTTGTTTTATGTTTTAAAGAGGTCTTGCTATGTAGTTGTGGCTGGCCTTGGACTCACTGTGTAGCCCAGGCTGGTATGGAACTTGCTTTACCTCTTGTGTGCCACCACAACCTGGCTCCCTCTCCCACCCCTACCTTTTCCCTCCTGTGGTTTCTTTGCTTGGTATATTTCTTTCAAGTGATTCTTCAAATGCTTTAGGGTCAATGACTGTTCTTCCGACTTGGAAACAACTAAAAAGCTAAATTCTATGCATAGGGCTTGTCAACATGTAGATTTTATTGCAGTGTATTGACAAGGCCATATATTTGAGAACCCTTTAATTATCAGCATGTGTAGTAGGCCTTTTTGAGAGAGAGATCCTCCAGTCTCCTGTCCCGTGTATATATATTTTGTGAGTTTTCTTTTTGGTCAGAGAAGAGGGAAGGGGTTTTGGAGATCTTACTGTTCATATTATAGGCTTCACCAGTTTCCAGTAAGGTTCTGCAACCTGCTACCTCAACTTTATATCGGAATTCTCCTATTCTAGAGCCCCAACCTCTCCTGTTCACCTTTTGCAGGGAATGAGCCCTTCAATTTTCTTCCATCGTAAGAGAGCAGTAGTAATCACTTTACAAGGAGGTAGACCTTGAGGTTTAACTGCTTTTTCAACCAGCTGTATTGTAGTTCTTTCAAGACAGACTAGAACTAAGATTTCTAGTTCTCTAGTCTGTTGAAATACTAATGTATTTATTTTTTAATTTCTAAAATCTTTTGATGTTATCTCTTCTGTTTCCTTATCTTGAGTGTTAATACCTCTTTCATCTTTATACTGTCAGTTTCCAGACTTTTATCAAAGGGCTGTGGGAAGCACATGTTCTCATTCCATCATATTGAAACAAATGTTCCATGTTTTGCCTACATAATAAATTATTTTCAAACTGAGCCTTGTCTTTCATAACTTGGTTAAACAGTGGAAAGTATTGTATTCACCCTGTTTGTTTCATGAATCTTCATTCAATATTGGTTTGGTTTAGTTTGGCTTGGATAGTTTTTTTGTTGTTGTTGTTGTTTTGTGCCGGGGATCGAATTCAGGACCTTGCGCTTGTGAGGCGGGTGGTGGAACCACTAAGCTAAATCCCCGGCCCCTGATTTTTCTGAAGATAGTTCTTTTTTTGTTTTGTTTTGTTTTTGGGTGTTGGTTTTCTGAGACAGGGTCTTACCATGTAGTTGAGACTGACCTGAAACTCACTATGTAGAACAGGCTGGTCTCAAACACGCAGCAATCCTCCTGCCTCACTCAGCCTCCTCAGTGCTGGGATTTAGGCATCTGCCACCATGCCCATTGGTTTTGCTTTTTTTGGGTGGGGATCAGTGCTGGGGATAAGTGATGTGCTGAGATATATTTTCATCCCTGTTGTTACTCCTTGTATATTAAAAATGTTAAGTGCTTTTGATAGCTTTAAATTCCATTCTCTTTATTTGAAAAAATTATTTACTTACCTTTAATCCCTGCACTGAGGGAGATGAGGCAGGAGGATTGCATGTTTGAGTCTTGCTTGGGAAAGTTAGTGAAGGCCCTGTATCAGAATTAAAAAAGGGACCCAGGGATACAGTTTTGAGTTTGCCTAACTTCCATCCTTAGTACTGCTTGCCCTGCCCCCCAAGAAGATTTCATTGTTTGATTAGTTTGTACATACTGTTGGTTTGTACATAGCACAAGTACTATTATTTTAAATACCATCAATGCCAGATAAACATCAATTATTATGAAAATCAAGCCTAAGGTGTTAATGAATAAAATTAAAAAGATTTCTCTTGTCTTTATTTCTTTGGGATCAATTATTATCATTCACTTAGTTTGCTACTATTGATGCATTTAGAAAAGATGGAAGCTTGACAGAAATGTAGTGAAGCTTGCCAGTCAGTACCTTTTATATCCTTAGTTAAGCCCCAAACTTTAATTAGGCTTATTAATTAAATTTATTAATTAACATGATTTAAAATTAATTATGAAAACATGTTTTTGTTTCTTAGTTTTTATTTTTTCCTAAACTTAAACTGTACTTGTAATGTAGTACTATCGCGCATTATTAGGAGATGTGTTTAACAATACTAGCTAACATGTTTATTGTGTCAAGGTGATGGCACCCAGGTCCAGTAAGAATGTTCTCATTCAGGCATGACTTGGTGCTGACATAATTTGAAAATATAAGCAGTAAATGAAAGGTAGTTGTATTCTTAAAGTGGTTGGTCAATCATATGATCTGGATTATGCTTATAAATCCATTTAGATTTGACAGGTGGATATTCACTTAAATTCTGGAACTATGTCCTCTGGTTGCAGTTAAAGAAACCCAGGCCTACAGGATGAATTAACTTGTCTATAATTTTTCCTGTTCTCCTTTTTACAAATCTTATCTTCCTCCAGTCAGATGAATCTATACATCAGTCTCCAGGTCATGTGGGTTTTTTCCCCTTCCTTTTATTGAGGAAATATACTGAGAACAGTGCAGAAACTATGAGTGCCTGCTTGCTGTGCACAGTACATCTGTGTACACCTGCGTAACTATTGTCCACATTAAGATGGAGGTGATAGCATTTCAGAAGGTTCTCTGTTCCCTTACAAGTAACCCCACTCCCAGTTAAGTAATGTGTATCACTGTGGATTAGTTCAGCAGAGCAAGAGCTGTGGCTACTTCATGAATTAATGAAGTAAGTATTGGATCTGCTACTAACCTCTGATCTC